AACTTAAGGTAGCCTGTGCAATCTTACTTTGAGCCCCTTATGTGTGCAGACTTTAATTACATGAGCACATGCTGTTTATTCTATAATACTTCTCTATCTTATGCAGTGCCCAGGCCAGACAGTGAATGAGACAGAAGGTTGCAAGATGAGAAGGGACATTTTCTTGTGCCTAACACTGGACTGTGTCTCAGAAGAGGGGTTCTACTTCTACCTCTTAACACTGACTGATGTTTGTCAAAATTATAACACCTATGTACAGAAGAGGCTGGATTAAAGTTACACAAATAGGAAATGCCAAAACTAACTTTTGAGAGCTTGACTTTGCAACCTTTACGTTCTTTTAACATAGGTGAGGTGTGTTTGAAGAAATCATTATATTGTATTTATTTGTATTGTGCTTGTACCTACAGGCCCCAGCCTCACTGTGCTAGATGCTGTAAAAACATACAACAAAGTTGCTGTCCTTGCCCTGAAGAGCTTGTGATCCAAATACAAGACAACAGATATTAGATGTAGTAAACAGCTGTAACACTGAGGCACTAAAACATATGGTGTAAAGAGGAGAAGCTGAGAAAGGCACAACCCTGCAGGTACTCACCAGCAGAACATAAAAAAGAACTACAAAAATATCCGAACATAAGAGGTCCTGCTAGAGAAGTAATGTAATGCCCTGATTTACAAAGGGCATTGGTGGTGGTTATAGCATAACGTGGAGGTGATTCAAAAGGTAATTTCCTCTAGCTTTACAATAAGATATAGGAAAAACTGTCAGGCCTTTAATGTCCTATGTTATATTCAAACATAATACCATTGCCTAAGGGGAAGTTATTCAGGAATAAGGTATGATGTGCATTTAAAACACTATCGCTATGCTGGAAGAGCTCCCTGTGGGGACTCTTACTATGGAAAAAGAAAAGGAGTACTTGTGGCACATTAGAGACTAACCAATTTATTTGAGTATAAGCTTTCGTGAGCTACAGCTCACTTCATCGGATGCATTCAGTGGAAAATACAGGGAGGAGATTTATATACACACAGAACACGAAAAAATGGGTGTTATCATACACACTGTAAGGAGAGTGATCACTTAAGATGAGCTATTACCAGCAGGAGAGTGGGGAAAGAAAACCTTTTGTAGTGATAATCAAGGTGGGCCATTTCCAGCAGTTAACAAGAACGTATGAGAAACAGTGTGTGTGTGGGGGGGGAATAAACATGGGGAAATAGTTTTACTTTGTGTAATGACCCATCCACTCCCAGTCTCTATTCAAGCCTAAGTTAACTGTATCCAGTAATAGCTCATCTTAAGTGATCACTCTCCTTACAGTGTGTATGATAACACCCATTTTTTCGTGTTCTGTGTGTATATAAATCTCCTCCCTGTATTTTCCACTGAATGCATCCGATGAAGTGAGCTGTAGCTCACGAAAGCTTATGCTCAAATAAATTGGTTAGTCTCTAAGGTAGCACAAGTACTCCTTTTCTTTTTGCGAATACAGACTAACACGGGTGCTACTCTGAAACCTTATTATGGAAGTTATTCTACCATAAATTATTCTATAGCTATAATGGAAAACTGTACTTATTTAGGAACAGCTATGCCAGTCAATTTCCCCATGTAAACAAACCCTAAGAAACCCACAAAATCTTTCAGACACTGTTATTCAAAAGCTCACTCTCTGTACAGGTAAAATATATATAAAATTCTGGCAGTTTAGATTAGGGCTAGGTGTTTCCAAATCTGAGCGAGTGTAGGAACCTCCCTTTCTGTAAATATACACTATCTAATATCTCTGTGTGTGCATGTTCTTGCAGAGAGTTAGGGTGTTTAGTTCCTAATATGAAGTTTAAGACTTTGGAATGCAGAGTTGTACTCAGAATAACTGTAGGTACAGTGTGGTTCAAAATGGCATTTGCTAGGTTAATCAGGGTGAGCATCTGAAAGGGGGAGATGTTATATTTACTTTAGCTCACAAATGGTATATGCCAGCCACTGGAATACAACACAGCCAAGTAACTACATCACTTGTAAACTTTCCTTATAAACTGAATTTAATTCTATTGTAAACAGTGGCTTTCAAAGTATTCAGTAATAATTCAGTCAGAAAAATGTTGATTTTTTCCCCTCCAGTAGTCTCTGTTCACAACCCCTTATGGTTCTATTCTATAATAGTTTCCATTATAACTCCATTTCCAGCCCTACAACTGTCTGAAATGTACACCTTTCAGGCTGAAATTTTCCAAACATGGCCCTTAACCAAAGGGTAAATAATTCTAGAAAGTCTGAGGGGAGAAAATGTTTAATCTGTTTTTGAGTGAGATTAGAGTGAAAAAAGATACTTTCCCCATTATAAAACATGATCTCATTTTTTTGTAAATAACTTGATAGCTGAGAACCAAGAGTTGAAATTAGGCATGGAAATTGGCAGCCCTAAAGGCTTTTAAGGGTTCTGACTGGGCTATGAGCCTTTGGAGATCAAACTATCTGAACATGTCATAGATCTTACATGCAGTGTTGCTGTAGCCATGTTACAGTATATTAGAGAGACAGGTGGGTGAAGTAATATTTTTTATTGGACCAGCTTCCACTGGTGAGAGAGAAAAGCTTTCCAGCTTACACATAGCTGATGTGGCAGCTATGTAAATGCATATTTAAGTTTATTCCTAATCATCAAAGCATTGAAGTGGTACTTAACTAAAACCCTATTGACTTTAAGGGGACTTGAAAGGGTGTGCTGAGCAGTTAATCTGGTGCTAGTGGACTTTGTGCAAGTGGTGCTTTACTGAATGTGTCTGCTGGACACCCTTTCAGTGAAACTGCCTCCTTATTCCCATTTATGGGTAAGGTAAGAAAGGCACCGAGCTAGTACTGCTAACATTTTTGAAAGTGTTCATGAATTTTGGTTGCTTTATTGTTTAAGAGCTCTGTTGCAGTGATGCCTCTCAGTGCCTTACCAGCTGTGTCCGAAGCACTGAGAAGCTGGAACTCTCAATTATTTTAGCTACTAGTGAGTGCTCATTACTGATAAAAACTGGTCCTAGGTGTCGTGAATTAGGCACACACAATGAGTGAGCGCCTTTGGAAAACTTTTGCCTGTCAGTGACTTGCTCAACCAGGTTCCCAAAGGAAGTTTGTGCCAGAGTTAGGAACAGAGCCTGGAGCAGGGCTGCTCAATGGGCCGGTACCTCTCAACAATTACAGCTGGAATTAATTTGCAAACTGGACACCATTAAATTAGGCTTGAATAAAGACTGGAAGTGGATGGGTCATAACCATGGGGAAACAGTTTTACTTGGGAGACAGGCCGGTCCTTGCCTACAGACAGCCCCGCAACCTGAAGCAAATACTCACCAACAACCACATACCACACAACAGAACCACTAACCCAGGAACTTATCCTTGCAACAAAGCCCGTTGCCAATTGTGCCCACATATCTATTCAGGGGACACCATCACAGGGCCTAATAACATCAGCCACACTATCAGAGGCTCGTTCACCTGCACATCCACCAATGTGATATATGCCATCATGTGCCAGCAATGCCCCTCTGCCATGTACATTGGTCAAACTGGACAGTCTCTACGTAAAAGAATAAATGGACACAAATCAGATGTCAAGAATTATAACATTCATAAACCAGTCGGAGAACACTTCAATCTCTCTGGTCACGCAATCACAGACATGAAGGTCGCTATCTTAAAACAAAAAAACTTCAAATCCAGACTCCAGCGAGAAACTGCTGAATTGGAATTCATTTGCAAATTGGATACTATTAATTTAGGCTTAAATAGAGACTGGGAGTGGCTAAGTCATTATGCAAGGTAGCCTGTTTCCTCTTGTTTTTTCCTATCCCCCCCACCCCCAGATGTTCTGGTTTAACTTGGAGTTAAACTTGGAGAGTGGTCAGTTTAGACGAGCTATTACCAGCAGGAGAGTGAGATTGTGTGTGTATGGGGGTGGGGGGGATGTGAGAAAACCTGGATCTATGCAGGAAATAGCCCGACTTGATTATGTAAAGAGTTGCCACTTTGGATGGGCTAGCACCAGCAGGAGAGTGAATTTGTGTGGGCGGGTGGAGGGTGAGAAAACCTGGATTTGTGCTGGAAATGGCCCACCTGTTGATCACTTTAGATAAGCTATTACCAGCAGGACAGTGGGGTGGGAGGAGGTATTGTTTCATATTCTCTGCGTGTATATAAAGTCTGCTGCAGTTTCCACGGTATACATCTGATGAAGTGAGCTGTAGCTCACGAAAGCTCATGCTCAAATAAATTGATTAGTCTCTAAGGTGCCACAAGTACTCCTTTTCTTTTTGCGAATACAGACTAACACGGCTGTTCCTCTGAAACCAGTTTTACTTGTGTTATTTCTCCCCCCCCCCCACGTTCCTCAGACGTTCTTGTCAACTGCTGGAAATGGCCCACCTTGATCATCACTACACAAGGGTCTTTTTTCTCTCCTGCTGGGAACAGCTCATCTTTCCTGATCACTCTGGTTACAGTCTGTATGGCAACACCCATTGTTTCATGTTCTCTGTCTCTGTGAATCTCCCCCCTGTATTTTCCACGGCCTGCAGCCGATGAAGTGAGCTGTAACCCCCAGGGCTTGCCAAGGCGGCCAGGTTTACAGTCCGCGTGCGCCGCGCCCGGCCGCTGTGCTCGGTGCTGCGCGCTCACGTGTCCACGAAGCGACAAGGAGGTTGGTGACTAGGGAGGAGAAGGCGAATGTGCCGCCATTTTGCACCTGGGCCAAGCGACCTCCCGGGTCCCCCGGCTGCCAGGCAACGTCCACACGCGGGCCGCGAGTGCGGGGCCGCGAGTGCGAGCCCGCCGCTCAGCTCCCGGCGTGCACCGCGGTAGGCGGGGCGGCTAGGTCCCAAAGCTACGGGGCGAGTGTGCGGGGAGGCGCGGTGCACGCTGGGAGTTGTAGTTTCTGGCTCGTTCCGCGCGTCACGTTCGTGGAGGCGCCGGTGTCTTGGTGGCCGCCGCGGGGGCGGGGCTGGGGCCGGGGCCGGGGCCGGGGCCGGGCCGGGCCGCTCCGCTCCGCACTCGGAGCCATGGCCGGCGCCGGCAGGAAGAAGCAGGTTCGCTTCGCCCGGCCGGAGGCGGAGGAGACGCTGCGGGGCGGTGAGGGGCCGGCGGCGGAGCCGAGTCTCCTCCCGGAGCCCGCGCCGCGGCCTGAGGTGATCGTAGCCGGCGGCGGCAGGCGCCGGGGCGGGGAGGGAGCGGCGCTGCTGCTGCGATGGTGCATCTCCGGGGTGCTGTGCGCGGGCTTCCTGGGCCTGGTGAGCGGGGGTGGGCCGGGCCTGGATCTCCCCTCCCGCCTGGGGGCAGCGACTCCCTGGCAAACCTGCCCGGGGCAGCGCTCTCCCAGGAGCCGCCCCCGAGCGGCAGCCCCTGTGCCGGGGGGCGGACCTGGTGCAGGTGATGATTTGGCGCAGCCCCTTCTTCGGTGCGGTTGGGGAGGGCCGTATGCAGCCCCTTTCTCCCCGGGGGCAGGTCCCTGTGCGGGGCTAGTGAGAACAAGGCCTGCAATACTGGGGCAAAGCAATGGTCCCTCTAGCCCCATAGCTTTTAAAATCCCAGTCATAGTTCGGGCCTTTGCAACATCTTCCACAGGTTGACTGTGGGCTGTGTGAAGAAGTACTGCCTTATGTTTGTTTTAAACCTGCTATCAATTAATTTCATTGGGTGACCCCTGGTTCTTGTGTTACGTAGAGGGATAAATAACCCTGCTCTATTCGTTCCCTCCACACCATTCAGATAGTAATAAACTAATGAGGCACCACAGAGCGCATTGATAGAGCCCTAGGGCTGAGCTCAGCCAAGTTGGCGTCCTGGTAATTTCTAGATAGTATTTTGGGCTTAGTTTGTCACACAGGCCGGTTAAAGTATCCCAGGTGCTCAGCTGCTTGAGGAGTAATGTTTCTATAGCACTGGATTGTATAAGAACCTTTAATTTTGCAGAGTACTGAGCACATTGCTGGTACTGAAATGATGAATGTCCCATACAGCCAAGTTTTCCTTTGGTCTTATTCTCACAATGAGATACTTACTATTTCCTGCCTGAAACTCACTTGGGTGCTCCACAAGCTTATTCCAAAGGTGACTGCAAGTAAAACTTAAATTTCACTTTGCACTTGGTGCTTTTCACACAGTTAAAAGAAAATGTGTATGTAAATTTAGAGATAATCTTGATAGAACAGATTTGGATTATATCAAGTGATATTTAATATTTATTATTCATTAGTAAGGCTAAGATTTTGTCCTGGATATTTTTAGTAAAAGTCAGGGACATGTCACGGTTATAAAAGAAAAATTAACGGAAGCCATGACTTGTCCCTGACTTTTACTAAAAATATCTGGGACAAAATGGGGATCTGTGCATCCCCACACCGCCTGAAGTGGGGCAGCCGCACAGGGGCTAGGAGCCGCCTGCAGGAGCTGGAGGCTTCAGGATACCTCTACCGCCTGCAGCTCTGGCAGTTGTCTGCTGCCTGTGCGGGCTGGGAGCTGTGGGGTGCCCCCGGCTCCCATGTCAGCCAGGAGCTGTGGGGTACACCCATGGGGGCCAGGGGCTCATGGTGAGCTGGGACCCCGGGGGTTCCGCCACTGCGGCCGGGAATTCCCAAGTGGCCTCCACTGCCCCTGAGCTCGGGGGTTCCCCTCTGCCCCCGGTGGCCACCAGAGGCGGTGGGGGTACCCCACAGCTCATGGGTGGTGGGGGACCCTGCAGCTCCCAACTGCTAAAGTCACGGAGGTTGCTGGAAGTCATGGATTCTGTGACGTCCACGACCTCCGTGACTAAATCGTAGGCTTATTCATTAGCAGTATTACCATGGCACCTAGGAGCCATAGTCCAGGACTAGAACTCAGTTGTGCTTAGTGCTGTACAAAAACAGACAAAAAGACTGTCCCTGCCTTGAAGAGTTTATGATGTAAGGCACTGTCTATACTGCCACTTTCAGCGCTAAAACTTTAGTCATTCAGGGGTGTGAAAAAACACCCCCCTGAGTGACAAAAGGTTTAGCTCTGAAAAGCGCCAGTGTAGACAAGTGCTTTATCGCCGGGAGCCACGCTCCTGGTGATAAAGCTACTGCCCCTCATTCAGGGTGGTTATTCTGTATCACTGAGAGAGGTCGGTCCCCCCCCTTCCCCCCTCCGACCATAAAGCGTGACTACACTGCCCACCTCACAGCGCTGCCGTGGCCGTGCTGTAAATTGGGTAGTGTAGACATACCTTAAGTAATCTGCCAACTTATTTCAGCCTTGTCTTATGTGAAATTCATTACCAACTTATAAGTTAAATTGAAAACTGGCACTTTAAAACCAAAATAAGAGTGCCCCCAACATTAGATTGCATTGTTTAACTAAATCAGTTTCTAAAGTGACTTAATTAAGATGGTACAATTTTTGTTTGCAGACAAAGTCTTAGTAACGTATGTCATTTCTTGCTGCTGGTGAGAGTTTATTTTATTTACCATCCGCCCTCTAAAATGAACAAACAAAAGATCCCCACTGTTTTTCAGGGTATGAGCATTGCTATCCTGGGACCTACATTTCAAGATCTGGCTGCAAATGTGAATAAAAATGTCAGTGATATTTACTACATTTTCATGGGTCGTTCTCTGGGGTACCTTGGTGGTTCAGTGATTGGAGGGATTATCTTTGACTGCATGAACCCTCATCTCCTCTTGGGTAAGTGTACTCAAAATAATAATCTTTTGTATGTGACAAATGTATAGCTTGATAAATCTTTAATATCTTTTTAAAGTGTGATAAACTTCACTTTTTCCAGACGGGTTGGTATAGTAACAAAATGTGAAAGTTGTATTCAAAAATATATCTCAAGCCAGCTTTCACCTCCCTTACCTTGGTGTGTCCTGCAAGTATTCTGTTGGCCTTTACCCTGCAGCTTTGTAGGATGAAAGTTGCATGTATGCTATCATCAGCATTGTCATACTCCTTTAAAAAACATTGTACACTGCTGCAGGAGTGATGTAATTAAAAATGATGAAATTCCGTTTCTGTTTGTCAGTTTCATTCCTGTCTCCTTTTATATTTGTGCTTCTAGTGATTTGATATACAATTTGATGATATTTCCTGTGTAGAAGCAATAGTCTATTGGGAAGTCTAATAGGATAGTTGCTCTTGAATTGCAAAGGACCATATCTATGACTATCAGAACTGAATAAAAGATGCCTTTTTGCTCAAACAAAAAGAAGCAGAGCTGGATTTTTGTTTTTCTATATTTATATAAAACAAATCAGATTTGATAATGGCCACATCACAAGCTCCATGAGAAAAATGAGAGAAGCTCAGCTGAGGTTCACATCTGATCATCTGTATTGCTGTCAGTGATACCATTTCACACAATTGAGTTACAACTTCACAAAAAAAAGAAGTTGCAAACTCAACCTCTGTTAAAATACACTGCACCTGCTTGTTCATCTGTTCCATTAAACCCTGACATGCATAAAATTTATGAATAAAATCTATTACTAATCTTCTGCTTCTCATTGATTCTCATTTATCTGTCAGACATGAGGCAAGTAAGTAAGCTGAAGACACATTTATCTGAAACCTGAAACAGAGATTCCTGAACTAATAAAGCAAAATCTTTCATGCTTATCATATTCAAAAGTAAGGTGAACTGATGGCAAGCTCTAAACACAGTTAGCTGTAGAACTGTTTCCTAGGTTTTGTCTTAATTTTTCATGTATTGTCAATTTGAGAAATAATTCTCATGCCTTCAATTTTCAGTTGGATAAGCAATGGAGAAAAGATCACATCTCATAGGTTGATTAAGTTTTAAATTAATAAATTCTGTTAACAGAGCTTATTCTTTTTGAAACTCTACAATGAATTAAGAGCCTATTTATGATGTGGGCCTATAACTTACTAATGTTAATGGAAGCTAAACTTGTGCATTGAGAGTAAGTGGAGAACATAGTTTAGTTGAGGACTGCCTAGTGTGATCACTAGAGCTGGTCAGAGGATGACATTTCAGTTTTGTGAAGAATTTGACATTTGAAAATTTGAATTTGTTTAGAATTGAAATGAAACTCAATTTTGAAATCTTCCAATCTAAAATGAGCTTTGCTCTGTGATCAAAATGTCTTTTGACAAAACCAGAATGTTTTTCATTTTGGTTTTTATTTTATATTACTATTTAGTAATGCAAAATAATTTTTTTTTAAACAATCACTTCAAAATGAAAAACTGAAACCGTTTGTTCCAAAAATCTCAAAACATCCCATTTTACATTGTCAGAACTTTTTTTTTCTCTTTCTCAAAAAGAAAATTTGGCTTGATTTTTGTGATGTTTTGATTTTAACAGAAACACAATTTCTGAGAAAAAAATGGTTCCATCAAAGTCTTTTCAATCAGCTCTCATGAACACAAATTCAGTCTAACCTGACTGCTTTAAATTTAAGCAGTCTGTCATAAGACACAGATTTAATTATAATAAATTGACTGTTTTGGAGCTTCAGTATGGATTTTGGATTACCTTTATAGGGTTAACCATGCTGGGAACAGCAGTTGGTCTGTATGCCATACCATGGTGTAAGAAAGCGCTTTTGTTAACTGCCCTGATGTCAGTCATTGGGACTTCTATGGGTGTTCTAGACACAGGTAAGTGAACAGATCCTCTTCCCTGCTGCAGGAAGTCCTGTGGATTAAATGAATCATTCGGAGTCTGTCAGCTCCTCTTGTATCTATCTGAGAGAACTGTTTGCACTCATGAGGTGCAAGAGATCCACAAGAGCTGAGTTTATGCTCATCATTAAGACTTCCAATTTGTATGGCAAGCATGTTGTGTTGTCAGGATAGGCTTAGGGCCTGCTAAAATAGTTAAATTTCACTTAGTGAAGGAGGAGGAATATGTATGTTTTGTTTTCTAGCATGCATGGTGTATGTATGCTACACTAAATTTGTGTTCATATTCATTGTCACTTGCCATTAAAGTTACTCTCTCTTGCTGTTACTACAGTAATATCATCCATACTGAAGACCGTAAGAGCAGTTTTTTCCTGATTGTGATGCAAATGGTGAGGTAAATGGCAGGCTGGAATAATCTCTAGAATGAATCTGCTGGTATATCTCTGACTGTATGTGGGATGGCATGGAAAGATTGCCAAGTATTCCTCAATTAACTACTTATTCAACCCATTTGTGTGACTAAGGTCTGAGTGAGCATCTCTAAGGCAAATGTGATGCTATCTGCTGAGAAGAGAGCCTAGAACTGAGTGTCATAAATAGGCTGTCAAAGAAGATCCTGAGCTTTGTTATCTGGAATGCCATAATGCTGCCAAGTGGAACACTGTTTGAACTGAGTTAGTTCTTGTTCTTGAGATAAAAGTAAAAAAACCCAGCATGTGCAGTGGAACCTTCTACTGCTTAATGTTTGTAAGCAGAGCTTCACTCTAGCTAGATTTGCAGTTTGCACATTTCATGCCCTGAAACAGGTAAGGACTTTTGATTCCATGTATTATAAAAGAAGTTCTTTATAATCGGCTTCCACTGTAGATTGTTCTGACAGATTGACTAGATACATATTAACTAAATAACTGATTGATTGGGAAGAAACCATACTGTATCTTAAGTCTCCATATTAAATAAATGGATCCTCATCTCTTTAATCTGCAGGTGGAAATGTCCTTGCATTGAATACATGGGGAACAGACGCTGGACCACATATGCAGGCCTTACACTTCAGTTTTGCACTGGGTGCCCTTGTGGCCCCAATCCTGGCAAAAATGGCATTGGGCAGCTTCATATCTCCTAAAGTCCAAAGAGAAGATGAAAAGACAAACCACTCTGTTCCGAGTGATATACCTAATGCACTGTCTGGATCAGCAATGACACTGCATTCTAATGTGAGCTTTACGTGGTCCTACATTTTCATAGGGACCTATATTTTGATAGTTTCTTTGTTGTTTGTTGTTCTGTATTCAAGGACCGGCACAGTGCGAGATAAAGCAAAAGCTTCTCTGCAGAAATGCCAAATTCCCAAATACCACTGTGCCCTTCTCATTCTTCTTTTCCTTTTCTTCTTTTGCTATGTAGGAGCAGAGGTCAGCTATGGCTCTTACATTTTCAGTTATGCAAAGGTTTATGCAGACATGAAAAAAAGTGAAGCAGCTGGTTTGAACTCCCTTTTTTGGGGAGCATTTGCAGCTTGCAGAGGACTGGCAATCTGTTTTGCTACCTGTTTATACCCTGGTACTATGATTCTGCTGAGTGTCATAGGTTCCACTGTCTCTTCTCTGTTCCTGGCACTGTTCAGTAAGCATCCAGTTTCGCTCTGGGTTGGGACAGCAGTGTATGGTGCTTCAATGGCTACCATCTTTCCCAGTGGCATTTCCTGGATTGAACAGTACACCACCATACAAGGAAAGTCTGCTTCTCTCCTTATAGTTGGTGCTGCCTTGGGGGAGATGTGCATTCCAGCAGTGGTTGGGTTTCTTGGAGGAAAATTTCACAATGTCCCTGTGATGATGTATACTGCACTGGGAACATCTGTAATGACAGCAGTACTATTTCCTGTGATGTATAAATTAGCCACTTCTCCCAGTGAGAATAAGTTAAAAGATGGTGGTGGGAACGAGGACCAAAAAGCTTTGTTGTCCAACTTTGAATTTAATGAAGATGAGGAAGATGAAGAGGATGCAGGAGAATGGAATGAAGCAGACTTTGAAGTAATTGAAATGAATGATACAGTGAGAGAGTCTGTGGTAGAGACATCTCAAAAGATCCCAGGGGAGTCCCCAGCGAAAGTGTCCATGCAGCCACCTTCAAACATATTTAATTCTTCTCCAGTGATTGCTCTTAGCTCCCCAGGGAGAAAGCAATTCAATAGAGACAGAGAGAAGAACGATTAAAGGAAAAGCTAGGCTGCTTACTTGAAATGATTGCCTGGATTCTGTAAGGTGGTAATCACAATCAAATAAGCTGTTTTTGTAAAGAGATTCAGAATTTTAATAGTGGTACAAAGCCAAGTGTTTCAGCCTCTGTGCTTGCCAAATCCCAGGTTATGCTTTTTTATTTTACTCTGCAATCATGCATCCTGGAGTGGCAAAGAACGTGTAGGTTGGACACACCAAAGAGGGAGTCTGTGGTAATACGATCAGGTGTTGTGTCATGGAACTAAAAGCAATTTAGACTAAACATATGGGAAACATTTCTTAAATGCGTGGCTGTAAACAGTTTCTCGAAGAAAGCGGTGGGCACCCTAATGTAACTTAAAGTGAGATTGTTCGGAGTATTTTAAACATATTTTTAGAACAATCCTTTGTTGGCTGGAATAGACCAGGACACACAGTGATCTTAACTGATCACACTCATACAAATCAGAAATGAGAGAAGAATATTGAACTTCTTGAATCTAGTGAAGGGGATATTCCATGGCACTTAGTTTGGTATGTAACATAAACCAGGAAATTAAGTTAAACAACAAGCTGTCGGTTGTGTCCTTGTCCTTTTGGGAAAGTGGAAAAGTTGATAGTTAATGGATGTATTGTTGACCTTGACTGGGAATTGCCTGGCTTTGTCATTTTCATGTAATGTTGTTTAAATATAGATTTCTGTGTTCATTTTAAATCATGGAAACATCAAATGTGTTACACTAGAATAAAATATTTATTTAGGGAGGTTTTTAAAAATGTGTATTATGTACTCGTTCCAAGGTTGCTTTGAAGAACAAAACGGTTTGTCGCACATCTGCTGCATTTTTTTATTTTGGGAGGATGGAGAGAGGGGACAAGGGAGTTTTTAAAAAGTAGTTGTGCTGACCTGCTATAATTTTTAACTCTTGATTGTTGAGCCATTATGAGCTACTCTTTAATCAATGTTTGATAACAAACTACTGGTATCACAGGCAGTATACACAGTAGCGTAATTACTTTACCTATACCAAAGCTAAATTTCAAAGGCAATTTTACCTTCTTAGTAACCAGGAACCCCTAGTCCATAGTATTGACTGAGGACTCTCAAATGAAATTGTTCAAACAAAAGTTTTAAAGATCTGTTCTGGCTTTCCCTGAAGTTAATAGCAAAAATCCAGTGGGAGCACATACTTCTCTAGAAAAGGAAAATACGTATCTTTTTTTCAAAGCAAAATGTACAAAACTGTCTGACTGTGTGCAAAGCTTAGCTTATGGCACACTTCAATAGCTGTATACTTCTGGAAAATTAATAGGTTACAGTTACTAATGAAACCTTCCCTTTTCTAACAGCCACAGTATTTAGTGCAATCCAAGTTCTGAAAGGTACCAGAGGGTGACCTATAACTGCTTCTTTTGTGCAAGTTGAATTGGTGCCCTCTGCTTTTTACTCTGGTAACATTGTAATGTTTCAGATACTTTGGATGATGTATTTGCAAGCTGCCTTAAGAGAAGGTCCATGTTTTGCACAGATGAGGTACAGTGGAGTGTTTCATGAACGTCTTGGGGGTGTGTGTGTATGAGAGAGAGATTGGAAATATCATGCTGGGGGAGGGGAGAAACACTGAGTGCTAGCAAATAAATAAATCACCATAATGCCAAGAACAGACAAATATCGAAAGTGTTGTTTAGAATTAATTTGGAGCCTTCCATTTAATGCAGTCCTTCTATCTGAAAACCCAGATTTTGAAGGCAGCTTTCTCTGAGGCTGCATGATCAAAACTTGCTGTTTGTATTGCTCATTGGATAGTTAAGACTTTTGTTGGTAATTTTACTTTTGTAGTAAGAGTTGCAGTTTGCTTATTTACATTTTGGAGTGTTTCTGTTGTGGTACAGAAACCTTTTTTTAGAAGTTTAGGTTTATGACTGCTTCCGCTCTTCTCTCTCTTCCACCCCCTCCCCCCCCCTTTACAAATTTCGCTTTCCTCTGAAATCTGAGGGGAAGAAATGGAGCAAGACCTAGCCATACTGGAAAACTTTATACCCTGGTAGTGAAAATGAAATCCAAACTCCATGGAGAAACTTGGGCTCCATAATCAGGAACTTACTTTAAGTTTGCGATCATAGCTGCTTTCTCCACAGTGGGCTGCTCAGTGTAGAGAGATTACATAATGTGGAGGTTTTATTTCAAGTTCACTGTATAAATTCCTGCATGATACATGCACCTAAATAATATTTTAAATATATATATAATATATATCATATAAATGATCAGAGGGTTCCCTTGTGATACAATATAAGAGTGGCAAAGTGTAACACTCAAATAATTGGGGTAGCATAAAGCTTTTTCTCTGTCATAGGACAACTGATGGAAAAATTGAAACTAAGAAATGCGATATGTAGACAAAAAACCAAATCTGTAGTGTAGGTCATCAACTGCTTTGACTAATGTCATGTGGAAATCTAGAATCAAGTTATACATTTAAAAATTACTTAGTAATAAGCTTGTCTGTAAGTCATTCCTAAAATGTTCAGATTGACCCCTAGCACCCAGTATTTTTGAGTGATCACCCGTCTCTTCAAATTTGAGCACTTTAGTTATTATGCAATGAAAACGTTGGTGATGGGATGTACTTGCACAACAGCCAGCTTTCCCTCACTACCCCCTTTCAACAACTGTATTTAAATGTATATAGGCAGTTTTTGTACATCAGGTGATACATACTGTTAAATGTAAAATATACTAAAGAAAGACCAGCCAGGATGTAAGTCAGTTTAGATTGATTAAGAAATTAATGAGTGACATGCTGCCTTAGAATATTACAAGTTTCCTCTGCTGTCATCTTAAGATCCAACAACTATATAAAAGTTGCAGCCTTATGTCAGTCACTCTGTTGAGGGATTTCTGGGCTCTTTGTTAGCTGGAAAACACAAGTTACTGGTGTTTACTTAAATTCATGTAGCTTTAGTATATTTGAATTTAAAAGTTTCCTGGTTAAACTGCAATACCTGGTAAGTGCCTTCTTTGTCAGTCAATCAGTGTTTAATTAGGACCTTAGTTTTGAATTTGATCAGAACCTTAAGAGACAAAGTATTTTATACTAGAAACAACCAATGTCCTCCATATTTTTATTGGTTAATTTGATTATTTGGCAATACAGTTGTCATTTTAAGAAACCCTTGTTTCCTTAAGTGTCAGTGATCATCTTTAAATAGTGCAACATTTCAGTTATAGGCTTGTGGGAGCTGTGTTATGCTCAGTGATAGCTAACTGAATTAATAGCAGTTGCTTATGTCATTGAGAATCACAGGAACAGACTGAAGAAAGAGGAAAACACTATGAACATTTGCACATCAGTGCAATAAGATCTGTTCCTCTTGCTTCATAGTTAAGGTGGGCAGCTGGCAGCAAATTGTCATCTATTAGTATGTTTTCATTTAGCCTGAAGATTGGCAATGTCCATAAAAAAAAACAGAATGCAATACTGTTTTTAAGATGAAGCATTTAAATGATAAGGAACAATGTGAAGGTATTTTTGGTATTTGCACTTTTATCTCCTAAATGAGACTGCACAAAGCTAGTAATCTCAAGTAAGCAACAGTTCTTTGTGGTTTTTCCGTTACTCCAGTCTTGTTGCTTACTGCTTATGCAACAATCTACACTTACATGAATTGAGTTTTTTCCATGCTTTTGTGTATGGTGGGCTTTTTGATTTAATATATTTAGGTTGAAAACTGCTTGATTACATGACTGTGTAATGTGAAATTTATTGGATAAACTGTTTCTTGAATGTAATAAATTGCTCTAATTTACAAACAGGAGTATCTTTTTATAATAAAGCTTGTACTGTGTTTCTGAACACTACTCAGGCCTTTATTTATTGCAGATTTAAAGCTCATGATCTGTTACTAGTAATGTAGAAATAGTTACCATTTCAAACAGAAGCCTCCCAGTTTTGAAACTTCCACTTTTCCCCCCTCTCCTTCCATTCCCCCCTCAGACTAATAGAAGGAAAAATGGTTTGAAGAAAACTAGTTTTTGCTGTTTAGAGACCTGTTTCCTTTACAGGCAGAAACATGGTATAAGTTTTAAACAAAAATTAGTAATTGTTTAAGAATGCTTTGAGGGCCCCCAAAATCCATAGTTGTATGGTAATGAAAGGTGTTGGTTAAAAAGGGAGGTGAAAGCAATAAGAGTTAATAATTGAGTGCAAATCAGCACTTAGTGAAAAGACCAACACTGGAGGAGAGGCAAGAGTTATTAGTGAAAAATGGATCTTAACCAATCAAATGCTAAAATTATCAGTCATGAATCATGAATTAGAAATGAGACAAGCTCTGTGAGGTAATATCTTTTATTAGACCAACTCAGAAGCATAGAATATCAGGGTTGGAAGAGACCTCAGGAGGTCGTCTAGTTCAACCCCCTGCTCAAAGTAGGACTTAATCCCTAGCTAAAACTTCTCTCTGATATCCTGGGACCAGTATGACAACACTGCATCCATGATGCAGAAGCAGTCCATCAGTAATTAGGGAGGATGTTAAATGCTTTTAAATCAGCACAGCTTGATAACTTGCACCAAAGAGGAACAGTACTTTGCCAAGATTGAGTGTGCATGTGCTCTTAAGATACTGCAGCCATAGCTATTTGGATGGTGCTGTTACTGTATGTACTGATCAAAGCTTCTAAGATGAAGTCTGACACTCCAGCATACAGAAGTAATTCATAGTCAGTGGGGTTTCCAAGAAATGTGACAATTCTTTGTAATATTTTTATGAACTAGCCATATGACTTTGTATCTATCCACTCTGTGTCATTACCTGGAGGGGGAAAAAATTCTCTCTGGGGGAGTTTGAGACATACAGCCATAAGGGCTGGCTGGAATGAACACATTTGAATGGAAGACAGACAGTGGAAACCTCCATGACTGAAGATTGACTCCTACTGCATGTTATTTCCCTTAGATGTAGACAGTGGATTGAAGACAGCAAAGGGCTGTGATAAGAAGGTTCTCAAACATTTTATGGACTCGCTTAAGCTTGCCTTTTTCATTGCTAATGGAAGGACTCTTCAACATAATTGTTGTACAGTATTGAAAAGGCTTCTTGGTGCCACTGCAAATACTGAGTGAAGTGCTCCTTGGGGTCCAGCAAACTGAAGGCAACTGTTGAAAGGCTAGGGCATAGCCCCAGCCCCTGTGAAGCCATGACCGAGCAGGTGCTCAGACTTTGAACGTTGTGACAAAATTTAAAAAGGGTAAATGGAATGTTCCAGGTACCCTATAGGTCACTCAGCCTGCCATCAATCCTTGGCACACACATTTACTGCTTGTGTCCCTGTTGAATTAAATGCTGGTAGCATAATCAATGCCAGTTAAGATGGGCTTTATGGAAAATAGTCTTAGACTCTGCTTGGATGATACAGAGAAGGATGACATAATATACTTCAACTTCAAAGGCATTGGATAGCACTTACAAAAAATCAATATAGCCCATATAAAATAGAGCTCGGGGGGCAGTCCCTGGCTTGCAAGCTCCATGTGGCTCTTTTACAGTCCAAGTGCAGCTTGTGGAGGTGCTTTCCACCTACTGCATGGGGAGGTGGGAGGGCGGGACCTCTGCCTTGCACAAGGGGGGCAGGGTAGGGACTTTTGCCCAGTATGGAGGAGGGCTCAGGCCCACAGTGTGTGCATGTTGGGGATTGGCTGAAGCCCTGCCAGGTGGACCCCCACAGGGCTGAATCCCTGAGCTCTAGCAGGCATGCCCTGCATCTCAAACTTTTGAAGATTGTTGTGTGCTGCTCAGAGGGTCAGTAAGTTTGGCCACCCCTGCTATAGAGTAAGAAGTGGTTAACTGATGTGTCATAATAAGTAAACAAAATTAGCAAGATGGTGTGTCTTTGGGGTGCAGGGTGTCTTGGAAGGCTGTGTTCTTGGAGCAGGGTTGTTCAATATCAGTGAGCTTGAAGAAAATAAAAAATTACTAGTAAGACACCATAAAAATGAGTGGGACAGGTCAGTTATACAGGCCAAGCAGCATTGCTTGGGAAGGCAGTTTATTTGAAAAAGGTTTTAGTACAGCCACATGCAAGGTCAGTTTAATTATTATAGTTCCCTCCATATAAAGCAAGAACTTTATAAACCATGTGGGAACCAATCCAGTAGCAATGCAAACATACTTGTAGATCTTCCTCCAATGAGGCTCATACATAGCCCCCTCCTGCCCCAAGGCATTCCTGTGAATAGTTTCCCAGACCTAGCATGCCAACTGGTGCAAAACTTTACATCACATGTGCAGCAACTTTGAGGGCTCTTTCAAGGGTTAGAACAAAATGAAGGGTGATCTATTTACTTTGAACAGAAAGTTTGCTAGAACTATAAGAATAACTTTTTCCTTATGACAAAAGGAGTGAGAGGCTTGTATGGCTATGGGAATTAATTCCTAGGTCTGAAGGACCTCAGATATGAAACTGCAGAACTTCCCTGATGGTAACATTATGGCCAGAGCCATGCCTGTTTTGACTCTGTAGAGTCTGTAAATGCTACTTCACGAAGGGACCACCACTTAGATTTAAGCCAGATGTTTGTAGGACAGCTCTGCCATGTGAGAGTGGGGGAAGAGGAGTCAAGTCAGGGAGGTACTAGAGCAGCAGATCCAGGTGGTTCTGCTATTTACTCAATTGGAGAGAAGGAGAAGAAAGACTGTGAGTTGCAACTGTATGAAAATGAATAAAAATAAAGGTTTTAAAACAAAATGGTTAGGAGAAACTGAACCACCAACTTGTTCCACCACAGGAGATAGAAAATATCATGGCCTGAGCTGAAGGATTGAATCTCAGTCCAGGAGCCTCGAGCAACACCAGTGGACTACCTCCAAATTGCATTGGTGGAGGATATTAACCATTAGTAATGAATGAGAGGAGAAGTGCAACAGAATGGATATCGTTCGAAAAGACTGAGAAGTTATGGGCTTGATGACTGGATTACAAAGTGATATTTGGTGACCTGTATTATACAGGTGATCAGACTAGATGCTAATAATTGTTCCTTAGTCTTAAAATCTATCAATATATGACTTTCCTAAGCAAGCCTCTCCATAGCCAAGTACTGTTTAGGATCAGAGACTTCCAATGAAACAATTTTACAATATTTTGCTTCTAACAGCTTCCTGTCTCTGCAATACTTGTAAATAATGTACTCTGCATTGCTGATTTTGCGACAGACCTTGAAAAAAAGATGACAATGAGGATTTGTGAACAGCCGCTTTTCTTTCTTGAGTTTTGAGCTGATTTTTCTCCCAGATAGCAAAAATATTAAAACCAAAGGCTCTGCTTGCTACCCAGTGATGGGTAGATTGACCCATGAGAATAGCAACTGTATGGAACAATATTACTGTTTTGACCCAATGGAAGAAGAAAGACAAGTCTGCTAATTAGCCGGTTTCCCTCATTCAGCACATGCATGCTATTGAATGAAGTAATGACTTGGACTGCAAATGTGTTAAGTTTAAAAAATGCATATAGATTTACCATAGCTCATATTTTATTCAATTTTAATATGGTTTCCATTATTAACTTCTAAAACAAAATGATTTCCAGTTTAGAAAACAATGCACTGACCACATAATTCCTTTTTCATTTTATACAGTTATACAAATATTCTAAATACACATTTTGTCAAGATGATGGCAAATAAGATTTAACTGTACAATACATAAGGAAAGAAAATATTTTAAGCATATTTAGAAGCAATAGAAATGTCTATACAAAAGAAGCAAAAATGGAATAAAATTTCTTATATTTAAAGTATTGCAACAGTCCCACAGGTTTGTAACAAAAATGTCTTTGCACAGTTCCTCACAATGCCCCATTAATAGCTAAAGCAAGACAGCAATTTATAGAAAATAATGTTTAAAAATGCTACACAATACTACTGTTTGCACAGTTTGATCAAAATAACAAATCTACTTGGAATCAAGCAAAACTTAGGAGGAAATATACCAACGAACTTTAAAATTATCTGTATAAAATTCATTGCACATTATTTTACTCAGTTGTTTGAAAAGTAAAAAAGTGTATTTACAAAATATTTCGCAGACAAAATTATAAAGTGAATGGATAATATATCTATAAGTAACACGTCTTGATACTGACTGTTCAAGAACACACACTAATGATTTCATTGTTTCAAGAGGTTTTCAGTGCTCCTTCCACAGCAAACCACTGGGAAGTAAACTTGACTTCTACTTTGAAATGGATTTACAAGATGTCACACATAGCTATTTCAACATCTGCATTATAAAACAGTATGTTAAAAAGGTGAAAGAATGAAGGATTTTGTACATCTTAAAAAGTGAATAGATCAATAAGTGTATTTCTCTTTTAGTTAAGATAATTGTTCATTATTCTTCAGATAGTAAAACCAACAGCTAAAATGGAAATCTTGGACTAGATGAACATTGAAAAAGCACCATGCACAACAGTTTTAGTGTAGTAAACACTGAAAAAAAATAGCACCTGGAATCTTGTAACACAGATCATTTAAAACTGGTCGAGTAGTTGTCGGAGATATGGTGCCTTTGATAACTCTCGGCTCACTCTGGATAGCTTGAAAAGTACTGGACAGTTCAGAGAAACACACTGGATCTGTCGATCAAAGCAACCTGTACAGTTCTTGCATATCTAGATATATTAAAAAAAAAAACACAGCTTTTTTAAAATTACATTTAATCATAAAGGACTATTATAAATCAAACATAAATAAGACTCAGATGAAGCTTTTCCTTTTAAGTGAATTTAGGTCCAATTACCAGCCTAAAGTCCAATCAACAGAACAGGTAAAAGCTCTGTCAGTGGCAGATGCCCCC